GTAAAACTCACAATTAACTTCAAGTTGCAGCAGTGGCGGCGGCTTCTAGCTTCGCCGAAGCGAAGGCGTCCTGGATCGCGGAGAATCCTCGGGGCTCCGGAGGAGTTCTCACCTACATCGTCCATATAGGACGACTCGGGAACTCAACTCCTACCCCGGGCAGCTCACCTATCCCCTTATGCCCAGGGGAAAGGTATCAGGCCGTTTGACAGCTGATGCTAGCTGTCAAACCGGCTTTTACGCGAAACAGGCGGGAGGCAGCAAACAGCTGCGACCGACGAAGTCACCTGCCACCGGAAGTCCCTTTCCTTCTTGTCTTCCTTCCTTCCCCCTTCCCTCCCCTCTCCTCCCTCCTCCTTCCTTCTTTCCTTCTTGTCTTCCTTCCTTCCTTCCTTCCTTCCTTCCTTCCTTCCTTCCTTCCTTCCTTCTTTCTTGTCTTCCTTCCTTCCTTCCTTCTTTCATTCCCTCCCTCCCTCCCCTCCCCTCTTAATCCACACTGCTGCTGTATTCAGCCTCTTCTCTGCACTCCTCTCAGCCTCCTCCTGTCTTTCTCCCAGACCTCCTGGTTTTGTACCTCTCCGTGTGCTCCAATTAGAGATGTGTTGAAAAGTATTTGCTGGTGTTTTTTTTACGCTGTTTTTAGAGAAGCTGCTCCTGACAGCCCCCTTCTCTAGAAATCAGAGTTAGCATTGCTGATACACTTTTAGACGTGTATTGTCACAGTTCTCCAAGGGGAACTCAAACCAGCTTAAGCTGGAATTGCTGGTCGCCAGCCACTCTTTGTGCCAGATCCCACCCAGGCCCAAAGAGCCTCCTCTTACTCAAGGAGGCGAAGGGTGCGAGGGAAAACAGCCAAGACTGTTGCAGATTTGTATCACGTTCATTTGGAAGTTGGATGGGGAGACGAGGGTGCTCCTGAAATTGCCAAATTTCAATCCCACGGGAGTCATGGGTCCCAGACTTTGGACCCATTGCGTAAGTTAGCCTGTTTGAGAATATCTTGTTTCAAAAACTGTTGACCTAGGATCCACTGTTTCGCCCAGTTAAAGTTTACACACAGACAGACAGAAGAGTTTTAGTAGTATGGATAGATGTACATTAAAAGTGGGAGGCAGAACTTCAAATGGATGGTTGTGGCCACCATTTTGACTTTTATGACCCTCCTGCAGATCCTTCTTCTGGACAATAACACCTATTGAGGGTCAATGCTATCCATTTCTTTCAGTCTGCTGACTGATGGTTGTAAGTCAAGCGGTACCTGTGCAGAAATCAATGAGGGAAGCCTTCTTTTGGGGGGAAGAGAGCTTCTTCAAAGCCAACCTGTCCAGTGACTTCACAAGAATGTTGTGGAGCAGAATTTCCATCCCAGCCTTTAAATTAGGGATGGGCTGATTTCCTTTTGTGCCAAGACAGGCTTTCAACTCAAGTTAAGGTTGCTTCAAAGCCATCTCTGTTTTAAAAAGAAGAAATCAAAATAACAGGTTTTGAAGAGTTCTAGGTCGCTAGCTGCTCTTAGATCTTTTGTTTTGTTTTGTTTTTAATGAGCAAATATGCGTCTTAAAAAAAAAGATGTAAAGATTGCCAACTTTCAGAGTTCTGTGGAGGTTTCAATGTCTTAACTGCCTGTGGAAATGATAATCAGTGGTTCATGTAAGGTGGCTACATGTGACGGTGCTTGGATTCCAGACAGAAATATACCTCAAGGGGTCTTCAAGACCCCTTTGATATTCTTATCTGTCAACTTTATAGACAAAAATTTACCAGCACAGAAATTATGTACTAAAAAGGATGTAAGATGTTATTTAACAGATACCTGCTCTTTGGGATAAATAGGGCTTCATTATTTCATTAATTTGCAAGATATATTGTATACGTTTATCTCATGCACACAACAAAGTACATGCATATATTTGCATAGCAAGTAACTGTAAACTAGGGTTAGCATACGGCCCCGTAAAGTCTTAGTTGTACCCTCCACAGCCCTTTCAGATATTGCTATGAAACTGTATGTTTTTTTCCCCAGCCAGACAAAAGGGGAAATTAATAAATGCAGCGCGTACATTTCATTCACAGTACTTCATCAAGTTTGCAACTGTAACTTCAATCACATTTAAACTTTGTGTGGGGAGAACCTCGTTCTGGAGTCCAACTCCAGATCACCTTGCAAAGATCTCCTCTCAGGAAGCTTCTTCAGCTCTGATCCGTTTGCTTTTTGTGTTCCTTTCTTAGAGTGGAGAATTCCGAAGAACCCGTCTACGAGAGCTTAGAAGAGTTCCATGTTTTTGTGTTGGCCCACATATTAAGGCGACCAATTGTCGTTGTGGCAGATACAATGCTACGGGATTCAGGAGGAGAAGGTAATTTTTTCTGGCTGCTTGGACCTCGGATGGCTAAGCCCCGGGTTTCCCAACCTTGGCCATTTTAAATTTATGGACTTCAGCTCCCAGAGTTCCCCAGACAGCTTGCACACCTTAAAATGGCTAAGGCTGAGATACACTGGGCTAGAGTAATCATCTCACTTTAATGAAAACCATCTTCTGTAATGGCATCTTTTGGATACAATATCCAATATTCAATGGGATATGTAATGGTGTGTTCGTTTTGCAGGTTAGAGATTAGAGGTCCTTCCTTCCTTCCTTCCTTCCTTCCTTCCTTCCTTCCTTCCTTCCTTCCTTCCTTCCTCCCTCCCTCCCTCCCTCCCTCCCTCCCTCCCTCCCTCCCTCCTCCCGATGCATTTTGAAGTCTATAATTCTGATATATATGGAGTATATTCTATATTATCTTTCTTCATTTGATTGCTTCACCATTGGCTGACTGGCATCTCCACTGATGCAAAAAGAATGACCTCTACCACAACTGCCTTAGAAAAGAAGAGCCTCGGGACTGTGCCCACTGCTTATCTTGAGTGCAGCATCTTCTTCTGTGCTTTTCGCAGCATTTGCACCCATCCCCTTTGGAGGAATTTACTTGCCCTTAGAAGTCATGCCCAACCGATGCCATTGCTCTCCCCTCGTCCTGGCCTACGACCAAGCCCATTTCTCGGCCCTCGTGTCAATGGAACAGAAAGACCAGCAGAAGGAGCAAGGTATGTCCAAGCTGACTGAAAACCCAGGAATAAACTGGTAAGGTAGCAGGGCTTCATCTGCTCTTAGAAACACGAAATACATTTTTGTGCCTTTCGGAAGATTATATGGGGATAAACTCCAAATGGGGAGATCCTTATCACAGTCCTTCCTCAACCTTCTCCTCTCCTTCTTCACCCACAATGCTTGGAGAAGTGTAATCAACCTGCATTTGATAGGGAGGAGACGACAATAGGTCAACTACCCTCCTTAAGAATCAAAAGAAAAGCAAAAACCCAAAAATAATAACAGTAGGACGAAAGGAATGTTATCGCCCCTACATTTCTCTGATAGGAAATGTGGTAAACAAGGAATACGATGAAGGGAACGGATCCACAGGTCTTCCAGACATTTTAAAAATGATTGGAGAATGGCTGGCAGAGTTTGCTTTGCCCAAAGGGACCCTGTGTGTTGTCTGCTAGGGCTGCCCCTTGATCTGAAGTCTTCCTGTGGCTTCTTTCAGTATGAAATGACCCCCCCCCCTCCTCAGCATCCAGATTGTTTGCTCCCAGCCTAGTTTGGCTTTCATTTCTCCATGAGGTTTACGTATGAAGTAGATTATGGATGCTGACCTCCAGTTTGGTTCTTCTCGTCTCCGCACCCCCAAACCTTGCAGCCCTCTCTCTGAAAAATCAGATCTTAAGGGTTTCAGGAAGGCCCGAGAAATCTCAGGTTTTCTCTCTAGATCTGCTTTTATCGATCCTACGATGCTGAATGCCCCATGAAGGGATTTTACATCCTCCCCCTGGTGTTTTCTTTCACGGTGCTTTTCCTGGGAAAGGGAGAAGTGCCTTTCTTGATTTCGAACGCCTGCTGATGAGGGTGAACCCCTGCCGAAATCCTTTGAATCATGGATCAGTGGCCAAAGTATTCCTAGAAGCCTTTTTTCACACGTTTGTCCGTTCAAAGGCACAAGTCCCTCTTTCTGCCCCGGGCTGGCTTCCCCTAACGGGAGGAGCATCGTGGCTGCTCTCCCAGAACTGCTCAAAGCCTCCTTTGATTTCAGCGGAACAAGGAGACACTTTCAACGGAAGAGAAGCTGTGATGCTGGGTTGTCTGCTTAGCAACAATGCGGGATTAGATGATATTTTTCTGGCAGATTGTAGGAGATGGTTGGAAAGAATCAGGAGAGCTGACAATTGTCATCTTGTATGTACAGTATGTATTTACAATTGTATTTGTGAATTGATTGAGGAACAGTGGCAACTCAACTTCTCTAGAAGAAAATGGACATTTGTTCGAATTAGGTTGCAAAGATAGAGAGCCATTTCAGATAAAAATAATATCCTCAGTAATAATTCTAGAGAAGACCTTCTTTAAAATGCTCCAGACTGATTGGTGTGTGTGTGTGTGTGTGTTATGTTCCTGCTGTTTTGTTAGATCTTGTAGAGCTTCTATCTTGTAATAGGATATTCATGCCTCAGGGTTGAACCGTGAGGTCTCTGGTGCTCTCTCAGCTTCGTGTCCCTATAAAGTTGTTTTCAGCCAGACATAAGGGGAGATTAATAGATGCAGTGTGTTAATTGCATCACTGTAATTGATGCAAGTTTATAACTGTTTGGAAATGGTTCAAGGAAACTGAGGAGCCCATAAGGTATCTGCTGTCCAATATACATTTGCAGCACGATTCTGTCTCGCATTTTGCGAGAAAATGAAATTGAAATGAACTCCTTACATCTAAACTTCGAAGTATGACTTAGTTGCTTAGTTGCTGTGCTTTTCCTTTGATTATTTTGAGTGTTTTGCTCTTTTTAGCTGTGTCTTGTTCACCGATCCATTGTTGGAATGGGTTACAATTGCATCATTTGAAGATCTGATAAGGATCTGTTTATAAAGGATGATGTGCTCTGGTGGCCTGTTTTTTTTATTAGCACAGAATCTGGATTGTATTATTTTGGAGACCCCTCTACTTGTTAAGTTGATTACATTAAAGGGTTCATCCCTTTGGGTATATTGTCAGTCTGGATGTATTCTTAGGAAAAAGTTGAATTTGGCTATCTTGCTCCTGTGGTTCCTGTTGGTTTTTTTTCATAGATTTTAGATTTAGATTTTAAGATTTGTTATTAGAATAAAAGTCCACTCATACACTGATAGTGCATATATGCATTATGCATTCCCTTTTACAGGAGAAAGTATACAGTATATTCCCATTTAAAAAAATTGAACGTATGATTGTGCACTGGAATGCAAAGATTCCTTGCCCGCACCTTACAAAATTTCTGTTAAAATTTAACAGTTAAAAGTGGAAGAACAGGAAGGGAAGAAAGGTAGCTTAGTCATTTCCCCCTTTCCTCTAATATGCTGCAATTTTATTTAAAACAGCAGGAGAAGAAAAGTTTGCAAAATTTTATTTGGTGGCAAAACACTGAGTTCCAATCTCATGTTTAATCTTTTCATTTCCCCTCTAAAATATCCCTCACATCAAAATACCATTTCAAAACGTCGCTGAAGAACTTAACAGAGGTGACCCAGAATTCTTGACAAAGTTGCATAAGATGTCCTCAGATTACATGCTGCTTCATTGACACCTGTAATTAATTAATTAATAAAAAGAGCAGCCGCTTTTCTGCTACTTTTTATTCAAAAGGCTCCCTGCTTTTAAATTCGAGCCGGTCATTGCCATATAGAGTGGGCGCCATCTAGTGATAAAGGGATAGTATGACAAGCCATTTTATTTTCTCCCTCAATAGTTGTGCTTATTGAGCTAGTTATTTCCTGTATACAAGATCTCTTGTATTAGCAGTTGATGTTTTCTAATGCATGTGAAATACTTGGAATGTTTGAAACCCTTATGCAAAGCACATTGCTAAAGGATGTTAAGATATATTATAAAGATTACTGAGAATTTATTAGAACAAAAATGGGTGCAGCTTGTTTATTTTTCTGTTGGTATCTGAAAAGGCCGTTTATCAAAATATACAGACTGACATTGCTGTTTGGCCATAAATGTGTTGCTAGTCATTCAGGTTTTTTTTTCTCTTGTTCTTCAGCCATTTCTTCTTCTTTCTCCGTTTCTTCATTTCCGATCTTTTCTTCTTTCCTTCAGCGGTGATCCCTCTGACCGATTCTGAACATAAATTACTGCCTTTGCACTTTGCGGTTGATCCGGGCAAAGACTGGGAATGGGGCAAGGATGACAATGATAACATCAAATTGGCCAAGTAAGATTCTTTTTGGTCTCTAAGATTTCAGAAACAGCCCCTGTGTGTGTCTAGCACGTTTGGTAGACTTTGTGTAGTGGAGACTGCAAACCCAAGGGAAAGATTTGAGCTTTAGTGCTCTATAACACAATCACAGCTAGATTGGGTCTCACCCAAAGTAGACACGAATGGGGTATATTTTTTATCCTCATGGGGAACTCCTTTTTCTTGTCTTCCTGGTCCTGTCCTTATTTTTAAAATTGCAGTTTGGAAAAATCATTTTGCAGTGTGAACACTTACGGCAATTCCTTTTGTGTAACGTATATGACATGGTGTGGGGTTTTTTTTTTGTTTCCCCTCTCTCTCTTTTTGTGTTCCCAGTTTGATTCTGTCCCTGGAGGCAAAGCTGAACCTTCTGCACAGTTACATGAATGTAACCTGGATCCGCATGCCGTCAGAAACACGGGTAACACTATTCCTTTGCCTATTAGCTTGAAAGAAATGTGGTCCTGCTTGTTTGGCTTGAGTTTCCACTCCAAAACGGGTAACCCAGGGCTGGGCATGAAGGGCACAACACAGCATCCTGGCCAGCTGTGTTACAGGAATAACACCTGCACAGAACTACAGAAAGAATGGTAGGAAAAATCTAGGAATTGCTCGCAGTTTTCACTTACGTATAGATGATTTGGTCTGTGATTGTAGCATCTGCCTTATTTCAGATGGGGCTTGATGCCTAACCAGATTAAATCATTATGCAACTGTATAAAATGTTAACATCTAATTCCTTCCACTTTCTTGTCCCTGATGCTGATGACTGACCAGCTTGGTGAAACATTTTACAACTCATTGAGTGAAAACCAAGTATTTCCCCCCCAAATATTAATCCAGCTGCCCCTATAGTATTTCATCTTGGTGTGTTATGCACAACTCATGCCTTTAAAGATAATTTGATTTTTAAAAATTTGGAAAAAATCTGCCTGCAAATGTACAGAGGTTCCCCATTTCTAACTGTTGTCCTGCTTTTCCTCCCAGGCTCCCTTGGCTCAGCCAGAGTCTCCTACGGCATCGGCTGGAGAAGACGTCCAGTCGCTGGCAGACTCCATGGATTCCGACAGGGATTCTGTCTGCAGTAATTCCAACGGCAATAACGGCAAAAACGGGAAAGAGAAAGAGAAGCAGAGGAAAGACAAGGAGAAGAACCGAGGGGATTCCGTGGCTAACAAACTTGGGAGTCTCAGTAAGACTCTGGGCATCAAGCTGAAGAAGAACATGGGGGGTCTGGGTGGGCTGGTCCACGGCAAGATCAACCGAGCCAACGCTGGGAATGGCAAAAACGGGGGGGAGGTCACGGAGAAGGCTAAAGAGAAGAAGTCAAAATCGCGTAAAGGGAGCAAGGAGGAATCGGGCCGCTCTGCGAGCACCTCCCCCTCGGAGAAGACCACCACCCCGTCCCCCACAGAGAAGGCGAGCATCTCCCCTGCAGAAAAAGCCAACGCAAAATCCCCGTCCTGGAAATACAGCACCGATGTGAAGCTGAGTCTGAACATCTTAAGAGCCGCCATGCAAGGAGAGCGGAAGTTCATTTTTGCCGGCCTCCTCCTGACCAGCCACAGACACCAGTTCCACGAGGAGATGATTGGCTACTACTTGACCAGCGCCCAAGAGCGCTTCAGCGCCGAACAAGAGCAGAAGAGGAAAGAGGCGGAGAAGAAGGCCGCGGCTCTCGGCAGCTCCTCGTCTCGCAAACTGGACCAAGAAGGGTTTTCCAAGGAGAAGCTGGATTCATCTCCTCAGGGGAGGGCATCCCCCGTGTTGCCTCAAAGCCATACCACTCAGCTGGTTTTAAAGTTCAAAGACCGGGCTAGTCCCACGCCGGCTTCCTTTTCTTCACCGAGCAACGGAGCCAAGGGGAGTGGACCCATCCCGGTATCTGCCCATTATAGCCATACGCCCCCCATCCAAAGGCAGAGCGTCATCCACTTGCACGACTTCAACACCAAGCCATCCAGCTTCCAAGACGATGTCTACAAGCCCATGGTGGGCACCCTAAAAACATGTGCCACCTACCCTCAGCAGAACCGCTCATTGTCCTCGCAGAGTTATAGCCCAGCAAGGATAGCGGACATTCGTACGGTCAACACGGTGGAGTCTTTGGCCTACGCTCTGCCCACGGACCCCAAGTCGCAAACATACACCAACGGGTTCAATAGCAAGGACATCAGAGACAGCTTAGAGTACGTGGATGAAGATGCTCCACAGACCTGGTTGAACAATGAGAAAAACCGCAGCAGGACCCCGGTTTGCCCCGTGTATTCCATCCAGCAGAACCGCTGCAAGACGGAGAATTGTTCCTTTTACGGGCGCCCTGAAACCAAGAACTTCTGCTCCTGCTGCTACAAAGAGGAACTCAAACGTAGGGAGCGAGAGAGTAAAGGGTCCCGGCATTGAAGACCGTGGAGCTCTTCGAATAAATATTTATTTCGTTCATTTTCTTACTTAGGACATATTGTATGTGGTAAGGGACTGAAAGAGGAAAGACCAGGGGGGATTCTAGAAAGATTCTCAAGGGAGCAAAGCTCTAGCTTTTTTTTTTTTTTTCTTTCTCAGAGGTGGTGGGCAAAAAAACAAAACAAAAAAAAAAGTGAGGATCCGTGGATGATCACGAGTTGGTGGCTTCCCATTTCGTTGGTCTCTTTTTTACATACACTGGTAATCGGAGAGGGTCTTTACTTCTCCGTCAGTGCTGTATCCGTGTGGTCAAAACTTTACTAATGGTGCCTGAATTCACACTGACATCACTCAGGTAGTAGAAAGATTAGGGGAAAAGTCATAAAAATAGACGTGGTGTGGTAAGTGCACAAATGTGTCTGCCTCATTCTGTGGATCGGAGGTGAGGAACGATGGCCCTTTTAATGACTTGTGGGCTTCCACTCCCGGAATTCCTGAGCCAGCGTGGCTTCTGGGAGTTGAAGTCCACAAGCCATTAAAAGGACCCATCGTCCCCCACCCTTGTTGTAGACGATCTCCCCAGGAGAAATGTCATGTTCCATAGCTCTCCTTCCCTTGCCGTTTTTTTTAAAGGAAGCAAGCATCGTAAAAGTGTATTTAGCGCATATTAACTCACTAACATCCTTGCTATAAACTTTGGTTTTTATAATCCCCTTTTCCCATAGATACACAAATGAAAGCATGGGTCCATGATGGCAGCTTTTCTCACCCAAGAGAAATGTATTCATTCATTCCTGTAAGTGATTTCCGGTTTTGGACTACACCAATTGCTCCAGATGGAAAGGTCTGTCTTGCCAGTTGATATTAAAATAAGGCTCGACTCTCATATTAAAAATGAGCACTTTACAGTTTAGTGTCAGGATCATGCAAACCCTGATGCGATCATCTTGTAGTCCTCCACTGCAGGCTATACCACTCACTGAGTTTAGAAATGCTGTTATTGCCACGTTATTTAGTTATATTTTTCCCGGATGATGGCTCATTCCAAACTTTCTGTAGCCTGTCACCTGGATCCTTCCCTTTCTAGAGAAGAAGACAAAAATGATCTGTATTCATTTGCACTGATGTTAAATTATGGACACCTATTTTTAAAAAGCAAGCTATGGGGTTTTTTTGGGTGTGTGTTTTTCTACACGTTCTCAAGTGTGGCCCTTTGAAGTTTGAATTAGGAAAAAGGTTGAACAGCTGAAATTATTTTAGCAATTATTTTAAAATTTCAATTGAACCAAGTTTGTTGATTACTAAACCAGCTGGATAACTTTTCTAGAGGAATCGAATTGTTTCGACACAGATCTCATATTGTATAAATGGAATAACCCTGATTATTTATTTTACAAATGGATATCTTTCTGCAGCCAGCAACCATTAAATAGTGAAATCCATCAAAAATATAAATCAGAATTAAAATCAACCATAAGCACTGAGAACAGCATCCTCAAAGCTGCCAGCTGCCTGTGTACCCTAGTCCAGAATTGGTCTTGCAAAGACACAGAGAAATTTTGCAGTGGATTCCAAATTGATATCCTATCTGAAGATTTAGCTATTGTCAACATCTGGGTCAGTGGTCTCTTCCATCATCTGAAGATGCTTAGCCTTCTTCAGAAGTAGCCTCTTGTCTTGGAGTAGGCAGACTGTGAGTAAGGAAGAACATAGCATCCATTCATAGCTGATGAAATAGTCAAAACAGACAGAGAAGCAATTCTAGTTTCCACACCAATCTTTTCTTCCTTGAACAACTTTTCGTGAATTTGGGTGTATGTGTGATCTTTCAGAAGAAGCCATTGCACCTATAAGGAACAATAGTCATGGTATCTCTATCACTTCTGATTTAAGTTAGATTTAATCAGATATTTAGGAAGATCTTAGGAAAAAGTGGCAGGAACCACTTTTATCTTTCTTCCCCCTACTTTTCAAAGCCAGTGGTTTGTTATAAAAACCACGATACAATCCATAATTGGATTTCTTCCTATTCTGTTTGTCTTGTAGTCATTGTCTCCACTGGCATACCTAAACTGTTAGGGCATAAGAATGTGCTACATTCTTACATAGAGCAATATAACCTAACTCTTAGGAGAATTTTTGTCTGCGTCTATCCTAAGTTACATCTCAGCCTCTACATCCACATCCATTCCTTTTGTTCCGTTACATTCCTAAAAAGAGAAGGAAAACCATTTGTTCCCACCCTGAAAGCCCCTTTGAACATCCAAGTGATTTTGAAAAGCTCATTAAAGTTCCTGATGTTAAATTCTTACCCCTAGGTGTAAGAATTCCTCTCATGACCACGCATCATTTTATATTTGGTTCTGCATTCCTAAATATAAAACAATGGTGCCTACTGTCCGTAGTTGTTCACTTGTGCGTTTCACTGACTTTGTCGTAAGTCTTCTGTAGAGGCAATCACTGGTGCATTCATATCAGCCTAGAAAAGGAATGACAAAACTTCCTCAGCCTCTCTTAATAAGTATTTTAATTTTGGAAGGTTGAATAATACTAGACTATAATAGTTTCTGTATCTTTGGAAAGATATGGCAGTTTTTAGTTGAGACAGAGAGAGGGAGAGGGAAGGAGGGAGGGAGAGAGAGAGAGAATGAGAGACTTGAAAAGCAACAGTGAGGATGCGTTGGCTTACTTTTATGCTATTAAATGTGAATTATTTTGATTAATGAATTATGCATTAATTGCCTAACGGTCCATGGCAGATCTAGTCATTTCCTATCCTAAATCTTTGTCATTGTTTCCTGCAGCGCATGTCTTTTCCACGCTTTTTGTGCTTCCCCTTTGGGATCAAGATATTCAGTTGAGTTGGGACTGGTATGCTCTGACTCTTGAACTCTGTGCCCAGTTCATCCATATGAGTCTCCCTTCCAGTTCTGAAGAAGGCTGTGGGGTCTTAATGCTTCTCCTTAGTTGTGGTGATTGATGATTCATTTCTTTGTCCAAAGAAACTGTGGTACCAGATGGAGCAACCTGTGATTGTATCTCATAGTGTGTGTGTGTGTGTGTGTGTGTGTGTGTGTGTGTGTGTGTGTGTGTGAGAGAGAGAGAGAGAGAGAGAGAGAGAGAGAGAGAGAGAGAGAGAGAGAGAGAGAGAGAGAGAGAGATCGGATATTGTTTTTAAGGGCGGGTGAGTTAAGCAAATATTTATTATTACTGATGCAATGGTAAAGGAACAGCCTTCACTATTCCTATGAATACTTCTGTAGATGAACCCAAAGGTGCTTTTTCAAGAGGCAACTGGAGAGAGTCTGTCTTTCCTTGAAGATGTTTCGCTTCTCATCCAAGAAGCTTCTTCAGTTCTGAAGGAAAAACCAAGAAAGTCCAGCTACCTCTTGAAAAAGCACCTTTGGGACAACCACAACCTGGATGACTGAGAATCTCCATAGGTGAAGTTAGTTAGTTATTCAAAATGATGTACACACACAAACAAGCCACATATACAGATATGTTACCAGTCTTAAGTCATGGAATAATCAGTGCATTGCCCTGGAGCAAAGTGTCAGCTGTCTAGTTGAATCCTTCCCGTTTCCTGACTCTTCTTCCCGATTTGATCTGAAGCCTAATCCTTAAATTATTGCAAAGACTATAATTACTATGGAGTAGAGCTATGCAAACACAAATCCTTGAAATAGCAAGAAGGCAATAGTTAGTGGAGACGAGAAAGAAAGAAAGGAAAGAAAGAAAGAAAGAAAAAGAAAGAAAGAGGAAAGAAAGAAAAAAAAGAAAGAAAAAAAAGAAAGAAAGAAAAGAAAGAAAGAAAAGTTTTGAGTCCCCTAGTATTACTACTACTTACAATTACAGGAAGAAAACTAGAAATACATGAAATATATTAAAAGTTGCTGGAATTAGAACTTTTATGAAAGATTACTTTGATATTTTTTTTAGAAAAATGACTCAAAACTATAAATGGTTAATTCTTTTTCATATAGATTAATGTTCCGTTCCTGAGAAGATTGTATTTTATTGAAGCTAAAGGCGATTTTACCAGAAATCAATCTCTCTCTCTCTCTCTCTCTCTCTCTCTCTCTCTCTCTCTCTCTCTCTCT